CCGCCGTGGTGTCTCGTCGTTGCCCGCCTCCCCCGCCCGCGATGGGTGGGCGGTGGCTTGGTTGCCCCGCTGTGGCGTCCTGGGGTCCTGTCGGTGTCCCGTTGGTGTTCCGTGGCTGTCCCGTTGCTGCCTCGTCGGTGTCCCTTCGCTGTCCCGTCGCTGTCCCGTCGCTGTCCCGTTGGTGTCCCGTCGGTGTTCCTTTGGTATCCTGTCAGTGTCCTGTCTGTGTCCCGCTGGTGTCCCATGGTGAGATCGATCGAGTGGGACCGATGGTGGGATCACATCGCGGCGCAGCATCGTCACCACGCGTCGTCGCCAACTCGAGGGCGCATCACCAGGGCCAGTCCTGGGCCTGGAAACATTTGGTGGGGGTCCGAAGAACAGAGGTCCCAGGACGGTGGAGGTGTCCACCTGGTGGGGACCTGGCAAGGGGGTCAGGATCGTGTCTGGGCCAGGAATTGTCGGGTGGGGGGTCCCAAGAAGAGAGATCCCAGGACGGTGGCTGTCAATCTGGTGGGGGCCTCGTGGAACCTTGTTTGGGGTCAGGGTCGGCTCTGGGCCAGGAGTTGTCGGGTGGGGGGTCCCAGAACAGAGGTCCCAGGATGGTGGAGGTGTCCACCTGGTGGGGGCCTCGTGGGGAGGGGTCAGGGTCGGTTTTTGGGCCAGGACTTGTCGGGTGGGTGGATCCAAAGAACAGAGGTGGTCAGAGTCAGTTTGGGGCCAGGAGTTGTCGGGTGGGGGGTCCAGAACGGGAGGTCTGAGGACGGAAGGGGTGTCCACGTGGTGGGGGCCTCGTGGGGACCTGGTATGGGGTTCGGGTCGTCTTTGGGCCAGGAATTGTCGGGTGGGGGGTCCCAAGAACCGAGATCCGGGGACGGCGAGGTGTCGGGTCCCAAGAACAGGTCCCGCGACGGCGGGGATGTCCTCCTGGACCGGGCTTCGTGGGGACCTGGCAGTGGGTCAGGGTCGGTTCTGGGTCTGGAATTTTCGGGCGGGGGGCCCCAAGAACAGAGGTCCCAGGATGGGTGGGGTGTCTACCTGGTGGGGGCCTTCTTGGGACTTGGCCAGTGGGTCAGGGTCGACTCTGGGCCAGGAGTTCTCGGGTGAGAAGTTCCACGAACAGAGGTCCCAGGACGGTGGGGGTGTCGACCTGGTGGGGGTGTCGTGGGGACTTTGGGGGGGGGGGGTGAGGGCCAGTCCTGGGCCAGGACTTATCTGGTAGCGGTGTCCCTAGAACAGAGGTCCCAGGACGGTGGAGGTGTTGCGCGGCGCTAAGGCGAGAGCCACATTGTGAAAACGACCCGCCCTCCGTTTGTGAAGCTGTTGTCCGTTTTTCCCGGAAAGGGTGCGGGCCCAGGATTTCTTCTCCTGGATTGCGGGGGCCCAGGGTGTTCTTTTAGTCGGTTGACCCTCCGGCCTCCTACTTGAAGGAGGCCGGCGAATTTACTATGAGATAATAACGGTGTCGGAGAGGGCCAGCGGATTACAGAGTTGAGGTTGTCACTAGCGAAACGCTGGTTTTTGAAATTCCGATCGATCCATCAGATGGTGAAGTACACGGTTTCGTTTGTTGCGGCTGTCTCGAGCGAAACGCTTGCATTGCAGAATTGATTGAGGATGTCTCGGGCGGAACGCTTATTTTGTGTCATAAATGCATCCTCTCCTGGGGGCCAGAATTCAGAGGATATCTCAGGTGAAGTGATTTTCACGTGCTCAGGTCTTGGGGATGTCTCGAGCGAGACGCTTGGTTTTCCGCGTCCAGGTTGCCCAGGCAGATACCTAGCATGATGAATTGTTGAGGATGTCTCGAGCGAGACGCTTGTTTTCATGCGTCCAGGTCGCCCAGGCGGATGTCTAGCATGAGGATATGTCGAGGATGTCTCGAGCCTCGAGCGAAACGCTTGTCGCAGTAGAGCGCATCGCAGTCCAACTCCGCCCGTCCGTGGGGCGTCCCCTGGCGCGCTGGCGCGTCCGCTGGCGCGTCCCTTGCGATGTTATGGCGTGACGTGCCCTGGCACGTCCCCTAGCACGCCACTTGGCGTGGCACGTTCCCTGGCTCGTCCTCTGTCGCGTTTCCTGGCTCGTCCCCAGGCGTTTCCTCTACGCGTTCCGTGGTGCGCCTCTTGCAACGTCCCTTGGCATGACGTCCTCTGGCCACCCCATGGCACGTCCCGTAGCAGGTCCCTGACACGTCCAGGGCACGTCCCCTGATACGTCACCTGACACGCACCCTGGCGCAGGTATTATTGCGCCCATGGCACGTCTTGTGGCGCGTCCGTGAGCCTGTGCCCCGTGTCGTGTCGTTCCTTTTCGGAGCCTAGTCGGATTTAAAAGTCGATCTGGGGCAGCTACTACGTGCTCAGGCAGCTCGAGCTTAAGATCCAGATCGGTTCGGTCAGGACTCGGATTCAAAGAAGGACTCGATCCACAGCGCTACAGAGCACAATCGCGGCATGGCAAACTGCAATTCTGCACGGCGCAGCACGGTACATCAAGATCGATACATTCAGCGTTGCAATTGCCCGTCGCCCAATCAGGTGTCTTGAAAACGTTGCCATGCCTCACATCTCTACATTCCTTTCCGGGTTCGTGGGTCAATCATGTTCAAAGGGTCTGGGGGGTGGTCGAACACCCCTTTGTTTCTGGCAAACGACGACGAAGACGACGACGACAACGGCGGCGGCGACGGCGACGGCGACGGCGACGGCGACGACGACGAGAACGACGGCGACGACGACGGCGACGTCGACGCCGGCGGCGGCGGCGACAGCGACGGCGACGACGGCGACGACGACGATGTCCCATCCGCCCGCCCGACTGAGCACCCGCCCCTGGCCCGCGGTCGTCATCGTCGTTGTCGTCGATGTCGTTTGCCGGCGGCAAGGGGTGGGGGTCGACCCCCCCCCCCGGGAGTCTGAGTTTCGAAAGGGGGCAGTCCTCGTCAAGGGGGGCGTGGGGGAGACTCTGGTTGAAAGAGAGTTAGGGCAGAGACTTTGCATCAGTGCAGCGTGCATAGAGAAGAAGCCGCCTTCTCCAATGTAAGCTGAAGTCGGGCCTGTCCCTCTACAGGGGGGCGATTCTAAACAGTTAAACATAGTTTGGGGACGAATTTGTTTTACCTTCTCAATTTCAATTATCAATCTTTCAATTTTTCGTTCAATTTTCAATTTCAATTTTCAATCTTTCAATCTGCGTATTGTGGGGAGCTTTCAATTTTTCATCCAAAATCCGCCCGTATGGCGACGCCCGACCGAAATGTGAGCCCTCGGAGCTCTGCGAGGGTTCCTTGGGCCCCCCAGGCCCCGGCCGAGCAACCAGCCGCAGCCCTCTTCCTCATCCTCCTTCTCCTCTTCCTCCTCCCTCCTCCTCCTCCTCCTCCTCCTCCTCCTCCTCCTCCTCCTCCTCCTGGGCGGCGCCTCCGGCGCCGCCGTGTGGGTGCCCCTTCGCGCGCCGAGGGGGTTTGGGGTCCAGCGCAGATCCGAGAACTCCGCGCGGGCCCTGGAAAGTTCACGTTTCTGCAGTTTTAAGCCGGGCCTGTCCCTCTACAGGGGGGATATTCAGACATAGTTAAAACATACAGTCAAAAACCCTAATAAGGACGCGCGACTTTGCTCAGTGTACCCTTGCGTCCTTGCTGTTCCTTGCTCTTGCGGCTCGTCCTTGGCCTCTTTCGCTTGCCCCGAAAATCCCAACGTCGGCTTCGAAGGGTCTTGCGTCCTTGCCGCGCGTCCTAATTAGGGTTTTTGACTGTAACATGTATGTAGTTTTGAGCTGGGCCTGTCCCTCTACAGGGGGGATATTCAGAAATAATTACAACATAATAGGGGGAGCATTGTTCTGACTGCTGCTGAGCATTTTTGGAGTATGGTTGGCGTATGGTGTAAATTCTTGACCCAACATCCGCCTGCAGGGGGGCATGTCCGACCTAATGTTTGTATAGTTTCTCTGGCGGTTCCCCTGGGCACGCCTCGGGTTTCGGGCGGAAGACCATTGACGCAAGGCCAAGCACGGCGCGCCTATCCGACAGTTTTCTGGGGCGACAGGTGGCAGTCGGGTGGCGTCCTGGGGCTACCTCTGGGGCCACCTGAGGGCCATTCTTCGTGCGCTTCTTGCTTAGCGCGCCCCTCTAAAAAGATGTGCCGTGCCGTTGAGGTCCGCCCGATCTAGCTGGCGGGGAGGGAGGAGAATGTGGGAGGCCGAGGCGGATCGAGGACCGAAAACAATCACAGTCCGTTGTGTTCGGTCGATAGGGCGCAGTTGGCTGCTGTGTCGCTGCCGCGTCGCTGCTCCCATCTGCTTCCGGTCGATCCGGCTGCCGTCGGTTTCGGTTTCGCCTCCGTCGGTGATGTCGGTGTTCGGCTGTGTTGCCGCCGTCGGTTGGACGGCTCGGGAAGCCGAGGTAGACCCAGTCCGACCAGAGTTCCTGTGGGACCACACCACTTCGCACCCCCACACCGCCTCACACACATTCCCACGCCCCACCCCTCTCACGCCGCCCCCACACGTTTCCGCACTTCACCGTCCAGCGAAGCCCAGTGGCACAGGAGGATAGAGGAGGAGGAGGAGGAGGAGGAGGGGGAGGAGAAGGAGGAGTAGGAGGAGGACGAGGAGAGCGAGGAGAGCGAGGAGGAACCTGAGGAAAAGCCCTATCCCCCAGATAGAGGCGAGAACTGAAGCGGACACCCTCGCACCTTCCCGCACGCCCCGTCCAAGAGCCTGCCGTTACCCCCCACACTTGGAAGTGAACGAACTCGGAGGGCTGGACGACGAAGACGAAGACGACGACGATGCCGACGAGCACGACGACCACGACGGCGACGACGACGACGTCGAAGTCGACGACGACGAAGACGACGATGACGACGACGACGACGACGGCGACGACGACGGCGACGACGACGGACGACGATTAAGACGACGACGGCGACGGCGACAAGGCGGACGGCGGACGGCGGACGTCGTGGAAAACCCGGGGAGGTGGCGCCCTCCTCCCCGGGCAGGAGCTCTTCCGGGACCGCGTGGGGCCGCTGGCCGGGCTGGCGGGCGCCCGCCCCCCCCCCCTCTAGGCGCGAGGCCGCCGCCGCCGCCGCGCAGTAACGACGACGACGGCGACGACGACGACGACGACGACGACGACGACGACGACGAGAAGGACGACGGCGAGAAGGACGAAGAGGAGGAGGAGGATGAGGAGGAGGAGCAGGAGGACGAGGAGGGAGCAGGAGGGGGAGGAGGATGATGAGGAGGAGGAGGAGGAGGAGCTGGAGGAGGGAGGAGGAGGGAGGAGGAAGAGGAGGGGGAGGAGGAGGAGGTTTTTCAGGACCAGCCCTACTCACCGCCGAAGGAACCGGGAGGGGGGACCCCTGGACACCTGGAGGCCCCTCGGGCGTCGACGCCGCCGGCGAAGTCGCGGATCGAGGATCGGTCTCTGGTCGATCGACTCAAGCAGTGGACGACCACGACGACGACGACGACGACGCGAAGGACAGCGAGAAGGAGGAGGAGGAGCAGGAGGAGGAGGAGGGGGAGGAGGGGAAGGAGGAGGAGGGAGGAGAAGGGGGAGGAGGAGGAGGAGGGAGGAGGACGAGGGAGGAGGAGGAGGAGGAGGTTTTTTAGGCCCCTCGGGCGGCGACGCCGCCGGCACCGTCGGATCGAGGATGGGTCGCTGGTCGATCGACTCAAGCAGTGGCGACACGTCCTGGCTCGCCTATAGGCCCACCAGAGACTCTTCTGAGAGGTCGCCGTGGCCTGCACGACAGGTGCTTGGAGCGTGGCTGGCTGAGGCTGTCTTGTTTTAGCACCTCGGGCTGATGTTCCAAGAATTTGGACGTCCTTCCGCACGCAGCACTTGAGGATTGTGATTTTGACGCGCCGTCGACGGCAACACCACACCGCTCACCCTCCGGGGCTTCGCCTCCGGCTCCTGTCCACGGTGTACATTTTCCTGTGCAAGCTCTTCAGCACCGCCTGCATCCCGCGCGCCCTCCAGCCGCCTGAGGCCCCGCCCGCCCGCGCCCTGTCTCCCCAATTAGTGCTTTGCGCGGCCCGCCAAGCTCTTAACCGGAAGAGGCTCGCTCTCGACCCGCAGACCAAACAATTCCAAGAACCTGGCCTTTTTCTCCGCAGAATTCTGGGTTCTGGGAAAATTTCGTGGTGGGCCTGCTGGCATGCCAGGACGGTCGGTCCCGGCTCCATCGACGGGTCGAGCCGGGGCCCCTCGGTCGGCGACGCGGAGGGCCTTGGCCAGGCACGGCGGCGGTGCATGTATCAGGAGGCAGAGAAACACACAGACACAATGAATCGTCGATTCCCAGGAAAATATGCGAAAATATGGGAAGTAAGGGGGAAAACAGACACCCAGGACATATGGGAAATTGTGGGGAGTCTTTTCATTTGTGTGTACTTGTTTGTGTGTCCCAGGGCCCCTTCAGTAGGTTTAGATTGGGATTGCCTGGGGGTTAGAGATGGGGGTCGTCTGTAGGAATGGCCCCAGAGGGGACAGGGAGGGCGATTGAAACGGAAATCCGTTTTCTTTTTGGGGTGAGGTCTTTGGGGTCAACATGTTGGCGCGAAAATGGGCGAACCAAGAGCCACGGCATTCCAACGGTTTAGAAAGCCTTGATTCGTTGGGGACTGGCTTCCCTCCAGATGTACCAAAACCGTCCCACCCACCCCCCGAAACCCGTCGAAAGGCCTCCCCGAACCTTTCCCAGAGGGTTGCCGTAGGGTTTTTGGGAGGCCTTCGGCGGTGTTGAAAAGAAGCCAGTCCCTGGCGTACCCTGGACTTTCGAAGTAGAGGTACCGTTTGCGCCATCGAGGTGCGCTCGATCGAGGATCGAGGCTTGATCGAGGTGCGACGTTCTGGGGCGGTCTGTGGCCTTGATTCGGCCCCTTACTGTTAAGTCGGGCCTGTCCCTCTACAGGAGGAATATTTCAAAAATAGTGAGAAATAGGCTGGGGACGATTCTTCTGGTGTTTTTCCCGGAAAGGGCAGGAGCCCAGGGCTGTCTTTTAAGAGGTTTACCCTTGAAAAGCGACTTGAAGGAGGCTGGCGGAATTATTTTGCGATAAGTGACGAGTTCGAAGGAGGCTGGCGGAAGTATTTTTCAGGACGTCTCGAGCGAAACGCTTGTTTTTCAGAACTTGTTGAGGATGTCTCGAGCGAAACGCTGGTTTTGCAGAGTTAAGGGGATGTCTCGAGCGAAACGCTTGTTGCTCAGAATTTGTTGAGGATGTCTCGAGCGAAACGCTGGTTTTGCAGAGTTGGGATATCTAATATGGCGTCGGGCCCAACGCCGAATTATGAGGAAACGCACGGGCGCCGAAAAGCGCTACCCGAACACATGTCCCAAAACAGAACAATCAGGGTTTCTTGCTATGAACAGGGGGTTGCGCTTTGGGGGCCTCTCCAGGGAAGACGTTGCGAGGATGTCTCGAGCGGGAGCGCGAATTCAGCGTATCCAGGTCACGCAGGGGGGTATCTAACATGGCTGTCCCGAGCTGGAGCCACGTGTTTTTTCATGCTCAGACCACCCGGGGAGGTCTCTAACATGATTGTCCCGAGCTGGAACCACGTAGTTGTATGCGTCGAGGCTACCCAGGGGGTATCTAACATGGTTGTCCCGAGCTGGCACCGTGTTTTTACGTGTCCAGGCCACCAACACGACGGTAGTCCCCAGCACGTTCTGTAGCGCGTCCGCTTGGCACGTCCCGCGGTGCGTCTGCATGGCACGTCCCCTGGCACGTCGCCTGGCGCGTCCCTTGGGACGTTCCGCGGCTCGTCTTCCTGGCATGTTCTTGCCTGGCATGTGGACTATGTGCTCAGGCAGCTCGAGCTTAAGATCCAGATCAGTTAGGTCAGGACTCGGATGCAACGGAGGACTCGATCCACAACATTATAGAGCACAATCGCAGCATGGCACATCGCAGTTCAGCACGGCGCAGCACAGCACAGCCCTCGGCACGGTACATCAAGATCGATACCTTCACTCAGCCTTGCAGTTGGCACGTTCCGTGGCGCGTCCTGTGGCGAGTCCCCCTGGCACGTCGCGCAGCGCGTCCCTTGGCACGTCCCGTGGCACGTCCATTGGCACATTCCGTAGCGCGTCCCCTTGGCACGTCCCGCGGTGCGTCCTCGTGGCACGTCCCTTGGAACCTCGCTTGGCGCGTCCCTTGGGACGTTCCGCGGCGCGTCCTCCTGGCATGTTCCCTTGTCAATTAGCTATGGGGCAGCTACTATGTGCTCGGGCACCTCGAGCTTAAGATCCAGATCAGTTCAGTCAGGACTCGGATGCAAAGGAGGACTCGATCCACAACACTGTAGAGCACAATCGCGGCATGGCACATCGCAGTTCAGCACGGCTCAGCACAGCACAGCCCTCGGCACGGTACATCAAGATCGATACACTCAGCATTGCAACTTGGCACGTTCCGTGGCGCGTCTTGTGGCGAGTCCCCCTGGCACGTCGCGCGGCGCGTCCCCTGGCACGTCCCGTGGCACGTCCATTGGCACGTTCCGTAGCGCGTCCCCTTGGCACGTCCCGCGGTGCGTCCGCATGGCACGTCCCCAGGCACGTCGCCTGGCGCGTCCCTTGGGACGTTCCACGGCTCGTCTTCCTGGCATGTTCCCCTGTCAATCAGCTCTGGGGCAGCTACCAGTTATGTGCTCAGGCAGCTCGAGCTGAAGGTCCAGATCAGTTCGATCAGGACTCGGATGCAAAGGAGGACTCGATCCACAACGCTATAGAGCACAATCGTGGCATGGCACATCGCAATTCAGCACAGCGCTGCACAGCACAGCCCTCGGCACGGTACATCAAGATCGATACACTAAGTTTTATATTTGCCCGTCGCCCAATCAGGAATCTTTGAAACGTTGCCATGTCTTACATTCCGATATTCCTTTCCGGGTTCGTGGGTCGATCATGTTTGATTTTGTTGAGCATAAACAGGTGTATTTTTGTGGGGGGGGGGTCAAAATCGGCCTGTAGGGGGACAGGCCCGACCTAAGGCTAGATCGAGGTGCGCCAGTTGAGAGGACCTAAGGCTAAGACCTAAGGCTAGGTGAAAGGAAGCCAGACCTTGGCGAACCCTGGACTGTCGAAGTAGAGGTACCGCATGCGCCATCGAGGTGCGCTCGATCCAGGATCGAGGCTCGATCGAGGTGCGACGTTCTGGGGCGGCCTCTGTCCCCGATTCGGCCCCTTACGGGGCCTCTGGAGGCCCGGCCTCCGGGCCTCGTCGGTCGTCCTTGCGCGTCGCCGTCGTCCCGGTCGCCGCCGCCGTCCTCGGCGTCAACGAGGCCGTCCTCGCCATCGTGGCCGTCGCCGTCGTCGAGGTCGCCGTCCGAGTGGTGCAATAGACGCGTGGGGTTGCAATAGATGTGGGGCGTGCAATACACTCCGGGGCGCACATGCATTTCTGGACTTTCGCGTGCAATACATTACTTGCAATACACTGCAATGCACTTCTCCGGCGCAACACACTTGCAATCCAATTGCCCAAAATCTATTGCGCCACCCCCTTTCGGCTGGGCCCCCTTTTGGGTGTGCTTGAATCGTGGCCAGCGCCGTCGTCGAGGTCGCCGTCTGACAAGGAAGATGAGTTCGTCCCTCGCGGAACACTTCACAATTCTCCCCCTCGAGGGAGCCTGAGAGCCATGAACCATAAAGTTCATTTTCGATCGAGGGCTCGAGGGCCGACTCGGGGCCCTCGGATGCCAGTCAACGTCAGAAGCAGCACGTCCAGCCCTGGCGTCGACAAGCGTTTGTGTCGCAGGCCTAGAGGTTGACACCAACACCAATTTCGGTGGTGTGCCTCCACCGAGGGAAGAAGATCCCGACCTCGGTGATGGCGGTAATATTCTGGCGTCCAGGGTGGCCGAAATACTACCACCAACGCCGAAATCCAGGATCAGCTTCCCCCTGTGGAGGCGACCCCCTGTGTTGGTGTTGGTGCCCACTTCCAGGCTCCCAATCGTGACGCCTTTCTCAGGGGGGAGAAGACCAGGGGCGGTGAATGGCATTGGCCCCCTCCCGTCAGCTGTCATCACGCCCCCTTGGCCCCCCCCCGCGTCCGCGCACGTGCCGCGGGCAGCAATGGCGCCAACCACCCATATTTTCCAGGTCCCCCTCTCCAGCACACCCGGTTCTCTGATGCTCTCTCTGTCTCTCTCTCTCTCTCTCTCTCTCTCTCTCTCATAATGTGTAAATATCTACCTGTATACGTATATATCCGTAAGGGCTTCGCCCCATGCCGCCGGCCCCCTGTCTCGGATAATGGGAGATGCGAATGCAAAAGCTAAATCATCAGGTCTGGGCGCCGCCGTGAAGCAGTGTCGGGACCTGTTTGTTTTTCGACCCTGACCCTACGGATCTGCGTCACGGGTGCCACTGAATGTCAGACATGTGGCAAATCCCATATGTTTTTGGACCCTGACCCTACGGATCTGCGCGTGAGGGGTGCCACCGAATTTGAGAAATGTAACACATCCCCTGTGTTTTTGGAACCTGACCCTACCGATCGGCGTGAGGGGTGCCGCCGAATTTCTGAAATGTGGCAAATCCCTTGAGTTTTTGGACCCTGACTCTGCCGATCTGCGTGAGGGCTGCCACCGAATGTCAGAAATGTGGCAAATCCTATTGTTTTGTTGACCCTGACCCCGCCGATCTGCGTGAGGAGTGCCACCGAATTTCAAACATGTGGAAAATCCCATGTGCTTCTGGACCCTGACCCCGCCGATCTGCGTGAGGAGTGCCACCGAATTTCAGAAATGTAACACATCCCCTGTGTTTTTGGAACCTGACCCTACCGATCGGCGTGAGGGGTGCCACCGAACGTCAGAACTGTCTCAAATCCCATGAGTTTTTGGACCCTGACCCCGCCGATCTGCGTGAGGGGTGCCAGCAAACTTCAGAAATGTGGCAAATCCTTTATGTTTCTGGACCCTGACCCCGCCGATCTGCGTGAGGAGTGCCACCGAATTTCAAACATGTGGCAAATCCAATGTGCTTTTGGACCCTGACCCCGCCGATCTGCGTGAGGGGTGTCAATTTTTGCCCAACTCAGCAATTCAGAGCATACGTTTTGGCCGTGGTAAAAATACCGTTTTGGGCCTCCCCCCCTCGCGCGGTCCATCAACAAGGAACAGTAAGCAGCAAGAAGTCAACAAGGAACAATAAGCAGCAAGAAGCAGAATTGTAACAGTGGAAACTGGAAGTTGCAACTTGTACAGGAAACTGCGAACCTTAGGCCTACAGCCTGGTGGCCCCACAAGGGGGCCGGCGGATTTACGTATATAGATAGGTTTATCGATATTTCCCCACACATATTTATATATACATGTAGATATGTGTGTATGTATACATATACACATGTATGCACATGTAGATAGATATGCATGGTCTATGAAAGTCTATATATATATATATGTATAAACTTGTCGGTGTATCTTTTAACTATATTATATATGTATGTGTGTATATACATGTGTGTGTGATCTTTGCGACTCGTTTCCCCGAGCTGCTCCCAGGTGGAGGAGTGGTTCCCGAACTGCGAGGCGGCGTCAAAGGTCGCGCAGCGGTGGTGCTGCATGCTGTTCCTGTCCTATCCTGTCGGCTCCCTGCCCGAACGGAAGATGAAGGAGGAGGAGGAGGAGGAGGAGGAGGAGGAGGAGGAGGAGGAGCGGACGGGGCTAGGACGAGGATCAATCCGTTCCAGAGCGTTCCGGAGAGCTCTCAGAGCGTTCCAGAACGACCTGAGAAGGCCGCGGCGCCCGAGGCATCCTCCAGAACCGCCGTACCTCAGATTCTCGTTATGTCCTTACCCGATTTGACCTTCGTCCTGGCTTCGTCTTAGGAGACGGATCGGCTCTGGTGAAAGGAGGCGCAAAGGGAAAGAGAGAGAGAGAGAGGTTACGAAATCTGCCGAGTGCGGCAGGCTTCGGCCCCACCGCTGGGCCTTTCATCCCACATCGGCGCCGGGGGCGCCGTGAGAGCCAGCCACGTGGACTGCTTCTGTGCACGCCTGTCCCTGTTCTGGCATGGCAGATCCTCCCCCTCTCAGTCTGGGAAGCTGGCAGTTCTCGCCAGGTTGGGCAGCTGGCACTTTTCGCCCTCGGGCCAGCATACGGGGGGAGGGTGGGGGACCCGACGCCGGGGTGCCCCAGGGAAAAGACCCAGAGATCGGAGATCCGATGTCGTGATGTTGTCATTGCGCGGTCCCTGGAAGCCTCGACCCCTGGACCGGCTCTTCATCCTGAGCCGCTTTGTGACGGTCCCGGGGCCCGGCGAGGGCCCCTCGAGGCCGAAAATTGGGAAAAGCCTCCGTCCTGTTTTTCCAATGCGTTGGATCTTTGGGGAGGCGAGGGCCCCCAGAGGCCGAAAATTGGGAACAACCTCCGCCTTGACATTTTGTTTAATGCGTTGGATCTTTGGGGGGCATTGTGGCGGTGGCACCGAGCGGCTGGCCGGGCCCGGAAGGGCGTGGGCGGTCGGGCGGCGGCGGCAGCCGGTGGGCGGTGCGGATAGGCTGCCACCGCCCCTCCTCGTCTCCCCCACACATTACTCAGGAATCGGGATCTCGCTGCCCTTCGTGGCCCCGTCGCTGCCCTTCTTGGCCCCGTTGCAGCCGCAGCCCTTCGTGGCCCCTCGTTGCCCTCCGTGGCCCCGTTGCAACACTTCGTGGCCCCGTTGCCGCCCTCCGTGGCCCCGTTGCAGCCCTTCGTGGCCCCCTCAGCGTCGGACGGGGGTCGGCGCGAACGAAATGGGTACGGAAACAATTGGCACAATGCCCAACAGCAGTTCCTGTTCATTCTGAGCAGGAGTCGCTGTCCGCGCCGCCGCGGCCTGTGTCCATTCGAAACAAACGGCCGCCTGCCCAACAGCGGCCGCTGCTGGTTTGGGACAACATTTGTTGTTGGGCATGGTACCCAGTCTTTCCGTACCCATTTCGGGCGTCACAATTCTCGTGTTGCAGCTTCGAATGGGGGGGCCTCGAAGAGTGTCCGACCACTTGGGGGCCTCCTCTTCCATCTCCGCATCTTCCCCCTCCTCCTCCTCCTCCTCCTCCTCCTCATCCTCCTCTTGTCCTCCTCCTCTTCCTCCTCCTCCCCCTCCTCCGTAGCCATTCTGGCTCAAGGCTATGAACCGTCCCGACGACCGCGAGTCTTTCGGGGCGTCCTCAGAGCGCGAGGGAGGTCTCCGCTTTGAGGCCACGTGCATCCACTGCCCGCCTGTCTCTGGCACTCCTTGTCGGCCTCTACCGCGGGGCCTGGGCCCCCGCCTCCTTCCAATCCCTGTCCCGACCAGACCGCCTCCGATGGCTGATGGCGCTGCCGAAGGCGAGCTGTCCGTCTCCCAGGCCGAGATGCTCGAGTCCATGCCGACCTTCCCGTCCCAGGAGAGCAAGGCGGGCAAGGGCAAGGGCTCCGCGCCCCCACGCACCGCCAGCTGCGCTGCCCACAAGCGTCGTGCTCTGCCTCCTCATGGTTCACCTGCTGCCACCATCGTGGACCACGACATGCCGCCGCGCCTCGATGACGACGACGACGCCTCAGAGGACTACATCAAGCAGTGCTGTGCCGACATGCTGGCCAAAATGCGTGAGGAGCTCGCCGTCGACATCAGCAAGTCTCTCACGGACACCATCAAGCAGAACATCGAAGTGCAGAACAAACCAACCATCGACCTGCTGGACCAGCTCCGCGCCCAGCTGGCGCAGCCTCCAGCTGACCTCGACCAGAAGATCCTCTCGATTGTCCGCCCTCAGCTCGACTCCACCGCACGCCGTCTCCAAGCACAGTTCGACGCCCAGCAGACGCAGATCAACGAGACCGACAGCCGCGTGTCCAAGGTTGAGGCCCAGATGCAGGACGTCCTCTCCCAGTTAGAGGCTCTCAGGAAGGAGCTCCTCATCGCCGAGCAGCGCCCCCGCGCCCCGCTCACCCAGCCGAAGGGCTTCGACAGGGAAGTGGATGCTTCGCTGGTTGTGGCCATGGCCCAGCGCCCTACCACGACAGCCTGTGTTGAAGCTGAGCTCCGCCCTTGGATCGCCTCGCTCGGCCTCGCCGGCGACCTCTACGACCTTGTTCCCGTCGGCCCTGTGCCGACCAAGAAGTTTCACATCCGCTTCAAGGGCCTCATCGCCGTCGCCTCCAGGATGGCAGCTAAGGCGCTTGGCTCCCTGCGCGTCGATGGCACCTGGAAGGAGTTCACAGTCGAGGTTCCTGGCAGCCCTCGCTGCCGCATCCACCCGGGCCCCGACAAGTCGCCACGCCAGATTCGCTGCGAGATTCTGCTGCGGGGGGCACGCACTATCATTGCCGAGCGTCACCCGAACCTCCGTCTGTTCACTGACAGAGAGCGTGCCACGCTTTCCGTGGGATGGGATCGTATCATGCGTGTGGAAGCCCATCCTGGCAACAAGCCCGCCGAGTTCTTCGGGGACAACCAGCAGCTCGCCAAGCACGACCTCGTCAAAGCCGAGCTCGCGTCGCTGCTCGCCCCGCTCATCGAACCCGAGGCGGAGCCACAGTGGTGCCTTTGACGTGTGGAAATTGTTCGCGTGTACATCGCCCTCTCCTGCCTCGCCGGTGGCTCCCATGAGGGTTGTCTCGTGGAAAGCGCGGGCCTTGCGCCAGCACGCTGGGAAGAATGGCGCCCGCAAATTCAACTACCTACTTCGCCTCCAACCCGCCCGCTCCATCGTGCGCCTGCAAGAGGTCAGGCAAGATGCTCTGCACTCGTCGTTCTGTGGTGACCATGGGGCGGACCGTGTCCGCGGGGGTGTGGCCGTTCTTGTTCCCCAGTTTTGTCAGGCAGCTGGAGAACGTGTGCGTAGTCATGCGGTGGCTCTTGTGCCTGGTCGCGTTTTGCGGGTCACCGTCGTGCGCGGTCCGATCTGCATGGAGATCTTCAACATTCACAACCACGACCTGAAGCAGAAGCAAGTCAAGGAGATAGTCGAGATCATCCTCGAGGCTCGTGCTGCTGCGCTCAGGGCGCCTTCCCAGCATCTCGTGCTGGTTGTGGGCGACTTCAACTTTGCCGCCGAGGATGCTGTGGTTCTTCATCTACCACAGGCCGCTGTTCGGCGTGCTGCACGTCAACATCATGGGCAGGCTCGAGTCTGGCGACGGGCTCACTCGCATCTCGTCGAAGTGGAGTGCGATTTGGTGTCGCACTATGAGAAAAAGTCCAACTCTGAGGCCGCTATCGACCGCCTCTTCCTCTCTCTCCCTGGGTGGATGGTCTGTCAGCATCATTTGCAGGCTGCTACTGTGGGGTCTGCAGCTGCTGTCTCTGATGCCATTGTCTCGGATCATGCTGCAGTTGTGGTCACCATCGCCCCTCGTGCCGCCCGTCCCCCTGCCGAGCGCCCTCTTGCTAAACATCTCTTCCATGACCAGTGCTACCTGAGCCGCCTCCGTGCTATGGTTGACTGTGCTGATTGGGGCAGTATGTCACCTCCGTATCGGTTGGAGCATTTCAAATATCTCATGAAAGAAGCTGCGCGTGAAGCCCGTGATAATGACTTTCGGAGGCGCCCTCATCATCCATCCACCCTGTTACAGCTTGCTCGTTCTATGGCAAGAGTTATATGGCGTCAAGATGTGAAGCTTGCTTGGAGACTACTAGAATCCCACCCCATCGCCTCCGACTTCATCCGTGTCCAAGGGCCCGTGGTCGAGTTGTTACATCCTGAATCGTTCCATGCTTGGTCCGACCGTCTCCAGTGGGAAGCAGCCGAATGTGCCCGCGCCGAGTTGCAGAGAAAGAACGACTCCTCTCAAGATATGCGTTCCGCCCGTCTTCAGTTGAAATCCCTTGAGAGGCGGTCCCGCCTCTGGCCCCCATTAAATCGACGTGTATGCCTGACGGCAGTTACCGATGATAGTGGGCGGTCCGCATGTGACCCTGTCGAGCGCGTGGATTTGCTGACGAGCTACTGGGGCCCCGTCTTCTCCAGGAAGCCCTGGGGCCACGACAGAGCCGTCGAGCATGCTGCCAAGTACCTGCCGACTGTTGACGATGTTGTTCTCCCCCCGCCCACACCACGCCTCCTTCGGGCTGTTCTGGCGCGCGCTGCTGACTCCGCCACTGGTTGTGACGGGCTTTCCTACACGGCGTGGCGCTCCATACCCTTTGGTGCGACCATCCTCTGGGACTGCCTCGAGTGGGTGATGAGCGGTCAAGCGTTGTTCGACTCTGCAAGCACGACCCTCCAGGTTTTTCTGCCCAAGAACGTGACCGAGGATGAGGCCCAAGTTGGCCAAGTTGCAAGGGGGGCAGACAAAGTGAGAGTGCTCGGTCTCCGCAATTGTGACGTGAAGGTCCTCTCTTTTACCATGAATGCCGCCCTTCGCCCCATCCTTGCACGCGTCGCCCCGCCCTGTCAGAGAGGCTTCGTTCCTGGGAGGAACTTTGGTCTGAACAGCTTGGAACTGGACGTATCGAGTCGTCAGCTCTCGTGCACGCCGCATGGCTGTCGGGACTTGCCCATCCTTTATAGCCTGGACTACGGCCAGGCCTTCCCCTCTCTGAACCAGGAGCTCGTGCTGTTTATTCTTGA